TCAGTTGATTGTTAAAGGGATCCCCGATTAGTTGTAACATTAGACTTTATTAATAAACATATATTTTATGTTTATATGTTTATCAAATAAAGTCTAATGTTACAACTAATCGGGGATCCCTTTAACAATCAACTGACCTAACCAAAAATGAAAGAAAGAAAACCATAGCTAAAAGCTAAATTTAGTAAAACTGTACAWAAGCTAGAATTAGTAATACTGTAGCTGAAAGGAAACTGCAATCCAGAGTGTGATTCAGCTGCAAACTAAGGTCTGCTGAGACGTCAGTCACTCAGGTGTTGTTTCTGCTGAGTCATGTTTCTCTAGTCACCGAGATGTTTCTGCTGAGTCATGTTCACTCATATGTTTCTGCTGAGTCATGTTTCTCAGTCACTCGTGTTGTTTCTGCTGAGTCATGATTCTCAATCACTCAGTCGTGTTTCTGCTGAGTCATGTTTCTCAGTCACTCGTGTTGTTTCTGCTGAGTCATGATTCTCAGTCACTCAGTTGTGTTTCTGCTGAGTCATGATTCTCAGTCACTCAGTCGTGTTTCTGCTGAGTCATGTTTCTCCAGTCTCAGATGTGTTTCTGGTGCTTCTGAAGGTGTGCTCTGAAGAACAGGTGACCTGTGAAGCAGCCGATCCTCAGCTTGTTTCTGCTCAGCATCCAGTGAAAGGCTTGAAAAAGGACACGGGACATTGCCATGGTAACTAGACCTTTGTTTAAATAAACGAGGCTCTACATAATAATTCTGATTAAACAGTATCATTTAATACATTTAAACAGTTTAACATTTATTAAGTTTTATTTAAATGTGACTTTAGATCATAAATTTATCACCTGCCACTGGAAGGTTTGTGTGTGTTAGCAAAATATCTCATTGGGCAGATTTTAATGAAAGTGGATAAATGTACATAACTTTTGGAATAAATTCAATTCAAGATGGCCGCCTTAGCTAATCAGGTTTAGGAAACAGAACTGTCATTTCATCTTCAACTGACTGCATCACATTTTTATCAAAAAATGCAGCTCTTAATATCTGACGTCATCTGTTTGTGCAGCAAATATTGTTTTCATGGTAACCATAGACAGTCACACATCTGCTGAGCTGAAATGTTTTATGTTTCTTATGCATGATGAGCTGGCAGACATTCAGTGCACCCTCCTGCTCCCACGCTTCTGCCAGGTCCAAGCTGTCTGGAGAGGGYGGAGCTAAACACCACTCTGGCTCTGAAGGCGGAGCTTCACTCACTGCAGGTTCATGCTTTTACATATGGAGCTAGAAGAGTCTCATTAATTACAGAGGCACACAGGTCAATTCATACATGTGCAGGTTATTTACACACACACGCATGCACGCACGCACACACGCACGCACGCACACACACACACACACACGTACGTCATTTTATACATGCACCAGTTAATTCACACCAGGGTTTGTGCAGGGTCTAAAAGTCTAAAAAAAAGTCTCAAATTTGAAAATCAAAATTTTAAGCCTAAAAAAAGTCTGAAAAATGCCCAGATTTACATCCAAGATCTTAAATTTAATTTTATCTTAAATGTCATTCCAGGTGGTCTTAAAAAGTCTTTAAAAGGTCTTAAATTTAACTTACTGAAACCTGCATGAACCCTGTCAGACACACAGGACAATTCACACACACGGGACAACTCACACACACACACAAGACAATTCACACACACAGGTCATTTTATACAGACACAGGACAATTCACACACACGGGACAATTCACACACACGGGACAATTCACACACACGGGACAACTCACACACACACACAGGACAATTCACACACACACACAGGACAACTCACACACACACACAGGACAACTCACACACACACACAGGACAACTCACACACACACACAGGACAACTCACACACACACACAGGACAACTCACACACACACACAGGACAACTCACACACACACACAAGACAACTCACACACACACACAGGACAACTCACACACACACACAA